TCAGTGTGGGATCTGCGCCGCCACCGCCTGCCCCGAGGGACCCGTCACCTGTGCGGTGACGTCCGAGATGGAGAGTTCTGGGGGAAAAATGGGAAAAAATGGGAAAAAATGGGAAAATGGTCAGTGTGGGATCTGCGCCGCCACCGCCTGCCCCGAGGGACCCGTCACTTGTGCGGTGACGTCCGAGATGGAGAGCTCTGGGGGAAAAATGGGGGAAAAATGGGAAAAAATGGGGAAATGGTCAGTGTGGGACCCGTCACCTGCGCCGTGACATCTGAGATGGACAGTTCTGGGGGAAAATGGGGGAAAAATGGGTAAAAAATGGGAAAAATGGTCAGTGTGGGACCCGTCACCGGTGTGGTGACGTCCGAGATGGAGAGCTCTGGGGAGAAAATGGGAAGAAATGGGGGAAAATGGGGGAAAAATGGGAAAAATGGGAAAAATTGGGAAAATGGTCAGTGTGGGACTGGTCACCTGTGCTGTGACGTCCGAGATGGAGAGCTCTGGGGGAAAAATGGGAAAAATGGGGAAAAATGGGAAAATGGTCAGTGTGGGATCTGCGCCGCCACCGCCTGCCCCGAGGGACCCGTCACCTGCGCGGTGACGTCCGAGATGGAAAGCTCTGGGAGGGGGAAATGGGGGAAAAATGGGGGAAAAATGGGGGAAAAATGGGAAAAAATGGGAAAATGGTCAGTGTGGGATCTGCGCCGCCACCGCCTGCCCCGAGGGACCCGTCACCTGTGCCGTGACGTCCGAGATGGAGAGTTCTGGGGAGAAAATGGGGGAAAAATGGGAAAAAATGGGGAAAATGGGAAAATGGTCAGTGTGGGATCTGCGCCGCCACCGCCTGCCCCGAGGGACCCGTCACCTGCACCGTGACGTCCGAGATGGAGAGCTCTGGGATTGAGAAATGGGAGAAAAATGGGAAAAAATGGGAAAATGGGAAAATGGGAAAATGGTCAGTGTGGGATCTGCGCCGCCACCGCCTGCCCCGAGGGACCCGTCACCTGTGCCGTGACGTCCGAGATGGAGAGCTCTGGGGAGAAAATGGGGGAAAAATGGGGAAAATGGGAAAATGGTCACTGTGGGATCGGTCACCTGCGCCGTGACGTCCGAGATGGAGAGCTCTGGGAGGGGGAAATGGGGGAAAATGGGAAAAATGGGTAAAAAATGGGAAAAATGGTCAGTGTGGGACCTGTCACCTGTGCGATGACATCCAAGATGGACAGCTCTGGGGAGAAAATGGGGGAAAATGGGGAAAATGGGAAAATGGTCAGTGTGGGATCTCGCCACCACCGCCTGAGCCGAGGGACCCGTCACCTGCACAGTGACGTCCGAGATGGAGAGTTCTGGGGGAAAAATGGGGGAAAAATGGGAAAAAATGGGAAAATGGTCAGTGTGGGATCTGCGCCGCCACCGCCTGAGCCGAGGGACCCGTCACCTGTGCGGTGACGTCCGAGATGGAGAGCTCTGGGGAGAAAATGGGGGAAAAACGGGAAAGAATGGGAAAAATAGTCAGTGTGGGACTGGTCACCTGCGCCGTGACATCCGAGATGGAGAGTTCTGGCGGAAAAATGGGAAAAAATGGGAAAAAATGGGAAAAAATGGGAAAAATTATCAGTGTGGGATCTGCGCCGCCACCGCCTGCCCCGAGGGACCCGTCACCTGTGCGGTGACGTCCGAGATGGAGAGTTCTGGGGGAAAAATGGGAA